GGCCAGAGCAGCTGACAAACGACCGGTTGCCATCCCCCCGCTGCTTAGCAAGATGAGCTTCGCTTCTACACGATCAAAAAACTGCTGCAGCTCCCGAGGCTGCTCCAGCCTCGGTGGTACAACCTCAAAGTCAACCACGAGGCTGGCCGCACCCATCATGCGCGGAAGGCTTGCTTGCTGATCTGCCCCAACTCCGGGCAATGCGGAAGCACCGGTGAAAGCCCGACCCAAAGTCAGCTTCACGTGCCCATCCTGGACCCCTGGTAGCGACTCGGCAAGGACCTCCGCGAGAACGCGCCTTTCTCTCACGCTTGGCGGGACAAACTGGAAGCCCTCACTGCCAGCCAGTTTGACTGGCTTGAGACACCCTGGGATGGTGATTGTGGCAAAGATGCCCTGCTTATTACCCAGTGGCATGCGGCCTGAGTTGGATACAGGAAGTGGAAGAGTTCGTGAGTCGGTTGCAGACCAAAGAGGTTGAACCTCATCTGCTGCAGGCTTCCGCTCTTGCTTGAGCCACGGCTCTTGAATGCCTTTGTCCAATCGACGATTCTCGCCAGCATTCTGAGTGCTCTGGCCGTCCCCCCCTCCATATCCGCTACCCCAGTCGTACCAGCCGTAGCCCGAAAATGACTCCACAAAATCCTGGACAGGGATAACGACTCCATGCTCCATATCTTTGTCTGCATAAGAACTTACAACCAGCAGGCTTTGTCCAGATCTGTAGGCAGCGTGCAAGCTGTATCGTACCACGCCGCGCTTTGTTGCAGCTACCCGCCCAACCAGTGACACCTTCTCATTGCCTGAGAAGAGGTATACTGTGTAGGCTATGATATTTTTAGGATTGGAAGCTGGAACGATCGTCACGATGCCTTTTATTTGGTTTTCCACCGGATCCTCATCGCCAGAAAAGTTTGCAAAGACTGGAGCACTTCGCACTATGTCAATGAGCTTGTTGGACGTTGAGACTGTACTCTCGCCAAAGGGATTCACTGCATGCACTACCATAAAGACAGCCCGTGTGGGAACCTGTAGGGTGCTCAGGTGTATCTCTACGTTCTCTCTAGGAGAGCCGTGGTCAACACCAACTGTCCAGCTGAACCCTTCGATGGGGATGCGCTCCCGGTCAGCCAGGGAGACACGGTAGGAAGAGACGATGCCTTGCATTCGAACTTCTGGCAGTGTCAGAGTGATCACTCCGTTGATGAAGCCTTCATCGACATTCTCATCAGCGAAGTCCACAGCAACTGGCAAATAGGCTTTAGATGGTGGCATCGAGTTGGAATCGAAATCACGTATCGGGCATGATCTGGCTTCCGAGAACAATTCTGTCCTTCCATATGCCGCGACGACTTTGACATCACCACTTGAGCTCCTCGTGGTAGGCAGCGCAAATGGTGCTTCCTCGCCCTCCTGCCACAACTCAAGACTCCAGCCTCCTTGTCCCTCGCTATGGTCACTGAGCCAGGTCAGGGTTTGATCGCCGCGCGGCACATGAATTATCTTGGGCAGCTCCAAGTCTGTTCCGCTGATTTGCGTGCCAGCGATCTCCAAGTAGTCGTAATAGCTTTCCGTCAAGAAGCTTGTAATCTTGACACTGGCAGGACCACTAAAAGTAATGACCGCAAGCTCATTGTTACCATAAGCATCCCGATGATAACGGTGCTTGCCTTTGTCATAGCTGATGTTTAGCAAGGCACAATCACCCGAGCACGATGGCGAGAGAAATCCAATTGCTGGCACTGAGCCAATCAAGTCTCTGCGCTGCATGTCGTGCTGCCAGTAGACGTTATAGTGACTGACCTCAAGCTCACATGGAGAGTTGTGCCTTTCAGGAACCGCCGAAAACTAAAGAAGTTGACAGACGAGAAGCTGTTCTCTCATTGGATGCTCGGCGAATCTTGATGCTGCCAGCTACTGCCCCAGGTTGGGGATCCGCGTCTCCACCAAAAGACACATCTGCTGGGCCAGCCTGTGACTATCTCAGACTGTACTGCTTGCGCCTAGACTATGGAAAGTGCGTCGATTCTTGTAGATTCTAAACACCCAGCTCATGCTAGCTCACACTGTGCCTCTGGCACGCCATAATCTTCGATCTCCAGGACCTGGCATGCACGTCATATACAGCTTTAATCAGTACGAGACAGGAGAAATCAGGAACACTGGAACTAGATGAAACTCCTGCTGATTGATCTTAAGCACTGCAGCAGCAGCGACAGGCATCCTGCCACTGCTATTCACGGCAACTGCAGCCATGCCCTTCGCAAACAAGGGGATCGTCAAGTTGTCCAGCTTGATGCTTAAAGTCTTCTGGCCGGAAACGTTAGCTTTCCCGATGCTCTCCATGAGCACGCCAGAGGAGGAAAGAAAGTGAACTCCGTAGTACTCAACGTCACTCTGGTCGTCCGGAGCAGAGATGATCACGCTGCCGCCGATGCGGCCCACAGCGGGGTTGGTATCGGCGAAGCGGACCTAGGGCATCTCGAAGGCGTCTCCACATATCAAATTTCTGAAGTTACTGTAAGTACATCTCTACGTCTTTTTGATATCTTTTGGTGCAAAGCTCCCGCGCCTGCGTTGGCGCATGGATCGGCGGCCGAGGGGCCGGGTAGATGGAAGCCAGGCCCATGGCACGTCGGGCATTGATACGACCGCCTGTCACACATGCATTCTCCAAGGACTTCTCAGGCACAGTGGACCTGAGGATGATGTCCTTCACCTGGGTGAATGCAAGCTCGGGCCTATAAAGCCAGATTAGAGCGGCCAAACCACTCACATGTGGCGTTGCCATGGATGTCCCACTGAGTGAAGCATAATCACCTCCCGGGATGGTGGAGTAGATATCGCTTCCAGGAGCAGCAACATCCACGGTGGTCTTTCCATAACAGGAGAATGGTGATAAGTCTCCCTTTTGCGTCGTTGACGCCACAGACAGAATGTTCTCGTTGGGATAATTTGCAGGAAAGTTGGGCACCTCATCGTTGTCCAGGCCGTCGTTTCCCGAAGCCGACAGGAAGAGGACTCCAGCATGCTCAGATCTCTCGATGGCTACACGCAGGGCTGAAGAGGAGCCACTGCCACCCCAGGAGTTGCTCAGGATGTGGGCACCCATGGCCACTGCGTAGTTTAAAGACTTCACGGCATCAGAAGTGCGGCCCGCGCCTGGGTGGGCAGAAGATGGCAGAAGCAAGCAAAGCAAAGCACATCTTGATCACATCTAAGGCAAGAAAATGTTTACCTCTGTGGGGACAAACCCCCATCTACTTTGCAGCCCTCTGTCCCCACACCATCCGGAAGGAAAGAAAGTGTAGTTGAAACCAAACTACAGCCTACTGAAGCCAGCCTGTGGAGGTCAGGAACTTCAGAGCCATAAGGCGGACACCCTGCCATGCAACGCCAGCAATTCCAATGCTGTTATTGCCGGTGGCGGCAATTGTGCCTGCACAATGGGTGCCATGCATCTGGTCATCCATGGGATCCCCATCATTGTTTGCGAAGTCCGCCCCGTGGATGTCATCCACTATCCCGTTTCCATCGTCATCAATTCCATTTCCAGCTATCTCGTTTGGATTGACCCACATGGACTCCTGCAAGTCCGGATGCGTATAATCGATCCCCGTGTCGATCACTGCAACCACGACAGGTTGTGCTGACTCTGGAATCGACCGTGAAGACATTTTCCAGGCTTCAAGTGCGTCCATGTCCCGATCGCCGAAGTGGTCAATTGCCCAAAGTTTCGAGAGCCGCGGGTCATTTGGAACCAAGGTGTCTTTGCCATGGGATATGGTCACCATGAAGCGCTCACTGATCTCTACTCTGTCAGTTGTGGCAGAGAGCATGTCTGATGTTGCCTAGGTCAGAAAGGGGCACTATGCTTGCATGTCATGGGGTTTCTTTCGTGGTAACACATGAAATGAAACAGCTGACTTGTACTAGTTGCATTGTCCCGGCTGACGTGCTTGTCAGACACCTTGCTGCGCAGCGAAACGGTACCATCGGTGTTGTAGATGAGCTTGAACTTCTCCCAGTCATCAGCTTCCCCATGCCCACGATGCCATGCAACCAGATGTCCTGACGGGCTGGTCACCAGATAGGTGCCATGACTAGACCGGAGAGACACGTAGCCATCCGCATGGGCTTCCAACTGGATCTGTGCATCAGGGTCTGTCTTTTTTCCTCTCCACCCGACCCGCCCAAAGTGAGATACAGTGATGTAGCCTCCATGGACCTTCCCATGCATTCGCAGCATTTCGGAACACATGAGATGACCAAACATGGGAGAACAACGAAAGCAAAAAACATATCATGCCATTGGCAGCTGCGTCACACTCTGCAGGGAGATGGTACTTTCACTTTGTCGCGTCGACTTCTTCTGAGGCTTCGCGAAGCAGCATGCCATTCTTGCACCATCTGGTGCCGGGCAGCAGCTGCCCTGTAAGTTCAAGGCGCGACAGCCAGGGTTTGCAGAGCACATCTGCGCGTCCGATGCACCGAAGGCATAGACCCAGGAATCTGGAACTGCTAGCTCCACATCCTTCTCTGCATCGAGCGCCTGCAAAACTGCATCTTCATCTGCGCCAGGCTCACACACCACGACAGCCATGTCTAATCGTCTCAGCGCATCAGCCCTGCGGATGCCTGGAATATTCTCCAAACGCGCCACGTACTCATTGAGCCTCTCCCCTGACCCTTCCGGGTAACGCACAATGATGCGGCTCTCTACCAGCTTTTCCTTTTTGGCGTAGATGGTCTGAGACAGCAGCGGAACTGTGAGGGAGCCAAAGACGAGCAATAAGCCCAACCATTTGGCCATGCGACGTGTCGCTAACGTAACTACTGAGACTACTGTGCCTCTGCTTCTGCCCAGTCCGCTCTTTCAAACTGCGCAGTCAGAGTCATGGAGAAATGCTGCGGCAGTCGCACTTTTCAAGATCACAGCTGCTAACTGCTTACTGCAAGAGGAACTGTGCATGCAAGCCAGGCGAAAGACTTGCATCGTCCTAGTGCTGAGGTGTTCGTTGAGCTTCTTCAGGTCAGCGATGGTCTCTGCCTCTGCTGGCCAGTTGTTTTGTTGGAGCCGGACGGGACAATGCACCACACGCAGGCCTTCGGCGCAGCCTTCGGTGCAGCCTTGCCATTTGTTCCAGCTTTTGCTGCCTAAGCGCGACTCTGCTACAGAGACACTCGTGCATGTTGAGAGCTTGATCGTGGGCTGAGGTCTCAGCGGCCTTGGCCTTACCTCCATCGCCACCTGCCTTGCCTGCATGTCAGAATTACTCTTTTACTGCGAGATCATGAGTGATCGTGGTTGGAATGTCAGACAAGTTGCCACCTTCAACTTTTTCGACTTCGAAATGGATACCAGGCTTGCCTGGCCTTAGCACACCACGAAGCACAGCAACTCGGGGTTGGCTTTCAGTCCTTTTGTGCTTGAGAGTTTCCAAGGTAGCAAGTTGCGATTGAAACTGCTGAAAATTAAATCTGGAATTCCTCGCTCGATCAAACCTCTCTGCTCATGCCACCTGCATGACGGAACTCTCACAATATGAAACTCAAAGCTTGTCTCCGGATCAGGAATTTGGGCTGTCATCACTGGCCCGTGCAACTGTCAGGGGGGCAAAAACCCAAAGCCCGGAACACCGAAACTATCAAAGAACCCTAAAGCCCCCTACGCTCAACAACCCTGCAGCGCCCTTCAGCCCAAACATAGATCACTAGCAACAGAGCCGCTGTAACGTGAAATGCGAAGACAAAGGTTCCCAACCCGTGAACACTCAACAATAAAAGTCGAGCCCTTAACCCTGAACTGCACTTTACTCCCAAACCCTGAAGACCCTTAACCTATAAATCCCAAACCATACAAACTATACATCCCAAACCCCCGGCCGCAGATCCTCAAGTGTAGCAAAACCCCCTTTTCGGGGAACGCAATACCACACCCTCATAGCTGAACCTTACAATTCCCAAACCTTGAATCCGTGGACTGTAACCCTAAAGCCTGAAACATACCCCTGAACCCTAAAACCCACAACCCTGTACTCAAAATGTGTACTCTGGCTGCTCAGGGAACCGTTACATGCTGCTTCAAGTCTGCCACAAAGCATCCAAAGCGCGGAATCCAAAGACATAGTATTGACCGGCTATTCAAAAATCGAAGCCTGTAACCCTGTAACCCTAGGGCACAAACACTAAAACCCCTGAGGCCTGAAACCCTAACCCTCTTAACCGTGTACCCTACAGCCTGAATATTTCAGATTCCGAACACTGCCTACCCAATGCTCACAACCTAAACCTGCTGACTGATAAGCAAACTTAACTCGAAAAGATCTTAAAACCCCCGAACTCAATGGCCGCAATGGCCATCCACCAAAACCAATGGCCTGCTTCGCACATACGTCGGCACGTTATTAGCACACTCGAATGCAGGCCGGTGAATCTAACTCCTCTAAAAAACCTGAAGCCTACAGTAGGCTTTCGCCTTACAGAATATGAAGTTGGGCCTGGAGCCTTTAAAGCCTTTGTCCTGGACGCTAAGCCAGTCTTAATGTCGGCGACTCTTGGATTTGAGCTCGAGTATACCAAGCGTGGCAAGGAAGAAGAATAGTACTCGCAAACCTCCTCACCTGTAAGACAACACAAAGGATAGCAAGCCTGACAATCACAATTGCCAGCTATCAGTGCGTCATTTGAAGGCGTGTGATCATTCCAAAGGGACGGCTTGGCAACACGATCCGTATGATCCCTAACCCGAACCTCCACAGAATTTCCGTATGATGTGCAATAGTTCCCTGAAAATGTTGGGATACACGGTTACCCCTGTTTTGAGAAAGGCCTCGCATGGCCTTGAAGCAAGTCCTGAGGCCGCCCACTGTGAATTGCCGGCTGCTTCCTGGAGATGTTTCGTAGCACATTTCACAGTTGTTCCAGTCTTCATTCTGAAGCTCTGGTAGGGCGACACCAATTTCAGCTTCAAATCGCAATCGTACACCTGCCCTTTGACTCTTCCTTGTGGTTGGGGTCAGCCGAGTCGGCGGAGCGCACCTCCACCTGCACCTGCGCCGGTGATTTTCAGGATCTGCACACCTCAAATTTAGGAAGTTGCCCCAAATCTGCTGCTACGAGCCGCCTGCAACTTCTGCTGCAGATATGGCACCTGCACTGAATTTCCCATGGTCAGGAGAAGACATTGCCCCCCCCCCCCAAGTTTCCAAGGACTCAAAGGTCAGAGGGTCTTAATGTAGAGCAGGCCGACTACTCTGCGCCAGCTTGTTCTTGGCATAGGGTTAGGTGGCTTTTTTGATTGACTGACAACAATGCAACGGCTGCTTAGCAGGACTTCCAAGGCTGAGGCGTTCTCTGCAATCAAAGCTAGCTCATCGAACGGCAAGGACGCATCCAGGGCACTGGTGCCAAATGCCGCCGCCTCATGCCAAAGTCAAAACGGATCGATGCTGCGTAACCTAAGAACCACATGTTGAAGTTTCTTGCCTCATCACGCTTGAATGCTGCAAACGGTCCCAGGTGTTTGCCGAACGGCTTGAGTGAAGCATCCTTGCAAAAGCACTGAAGAGGGCTTCGTGAGCAAAGCAAGCTCAAGTCCGAAGTCCTGCATGAGCTCTGTCATGATCTCCTTCCACTGCGCCGAGGCTTCCGGGTTTGCCTTCATGTCTTCCTGGCGAATCACATGGTCACAAGGGGTCTTTGGCTTCTGCTTCTGATTCTGGCCTGAGACACCAACGGCAGCTTGCCGGCATCGTGTCTGGCCCTCAGTGGTCAAGCTCAGAAAAAATCACAAACCTTTGTCTCTTATCGGGCATGCGGCCTCAGCTTGGCCAAGACTGTCCTCAGGGCCATCAGAGGGATCGCCAGTTGTCTCGTGATGCAGAGACTTGCAAAGCACCACCGAGTGCGCTTGTTGAAGCGAGTCTCTTCTTCCAATCGGGGAATTCCTGTCATGATGAATTGAAGAAGCAATGTCAATTCCCTTTTCTGTCGGTTCTTGTTAGAACTTGCGACGAACCGTCCGTGAGCCTTTGCCACATAAACCACGGCTGACTTTGCTGTTCCGGATTTTGTTGCTTTCTCTAGCCTGTAGCTTGGACTTGAATGCATCTAGCAGCGAGACATACAAGCGTGATGTGCTGCGGCTCTGGCAGCTTGATGAAATCATGGGGCACCTGACAACGGCTGTACGACTCGTGCAAGGCTGTTGTGCCAGGATACACTCACACACCGTGGTTTTGCAGCCACGTGGCCTTGTTGAACATGTAATCACCCTGCTTGGAGAGCGAGGTGTCTACTGCTGCTGTCGGAGCTGGATACCTTCGAGGCATCTGCTTTCTGCATCTGGCATCATTTCATCATGTTCCAAGCCTTGCATCCAGGACCGAGCCCGACTTGCCCAGTACGACTGACCAACCATGCTCGCAAAAATGCGGACCTTGAAACGCCAACATTCAATCCGGTGGCCAGAGCTTGACAAACTTGCGAAATCGGTGACGGACAAATTGGCGACAATGTGATCATCTGCCACTCCAAGTACCTTGCATGTTTGTTCAGTCCTAGATACTTCCTTTACGCTTGTGTGACTGAAGAGCCTCATGGTCAGAACCTTGTTCGGCTGGCAGTTGGCAGCTTTGCAGATGTCACGGTACCTCGGGCTTTCCATTGCCGGACGCAGCTGAGGGTCGGCCAGCTGCTTGGAATGACTAAGCTCCTGACTGGTCAAACACCGACGTGAATTCAAAGTAGCATGTGCGCAATGCTTCCCGGTAGTACCTGGCCCGTCATGCAACAGCTCTCTCTGACGACATACATCCAGGAAGACTTGCGGCAACTGATTGGTGCGAAATGGATCTACCGAAATTCGACCTAGCTGTGAGCAACCACCCTCCACTGAGGGCACATGGTCTCATAGAATTTCTTGCTTTCCAACCTTGGTTGTCAACATGCCAGCGGAAAGTGGGTTGGGCTGGAGTACCATGGCAGGCGAGCAACACCAAGCGATTCATCTCGTTGGCAAACCACTTGTCCACAAAGCGAGCCATCCCGTCACCTGCATGTCACACTGTGGCGGCTTGCTCCAAACCAAGCTGCTGTTCCTAGAGTCTTTTTTGAGGCTTGCATTCGCAAAGTGTATCAACGCCACTGATTGCGCCTCCATCCAGCGGCTCGCTGCCGCCGACCAATGCTTTCATGGTCTCCAGAAAAACCGCCAGAGTGAGTACAGCTTTGTTACCTGCAAGGAGGCGCAGCATTTGACCCTTCCCCAACATTGCCATCCCTGTAAATCGGTCGTACAAGCTTATGGGTCCTCAAGTTGCTTCAAAGCGGCACACAGTCTGGTCGAAATTTGCTGGCTCTAGCGTGTCGCCAGAGTTTGCCATGGCCAGGCGGACGGTGTCTGCTGAGTAACTGGCAAAAGCACAGAGGATCACAGAGGACAATCTGCAGCTCGAATGTACTCATGTATTGTCCAGCCGGGCACTTGTTGATGATCTCCTCCACTGTGAAAAAGTTGCCCTTTGACTTGGACATCTTCTCCTTAGATGATTTCTCATGACCTGCTTGCGTGAGCTCGGAGTTTCTTTGAAGAAATCAGCATGGACTATGGACCACCATCTGCGTGGGCTGCAGCATAGCATCGTTGTTGACCAACAACCACCCATTGCAAAAGAAGCTCTTTGGCCACATCTCTGGCTCCTTCTCCTGACCAATCTAGAGCTCAATGACAGCTTAAAAGGCAGGTTGCACCGAGGTGATCGCCCAAACACAGGCATGGTTGTACAGGGCCTGACGAACTAAGCCACGAGCACAAGGTTGAGTCCACATAAAGGCTCACAGAGACCAGGGCTCAAGCCATGGTCAAGTGGTTTTGAATCAGATCTTTACCGGATACTCGCAAGTCCATCGGGTACCAGAACCTGGACACGGCCAGCACTTTACGCGCTGCTAGCGATGACAGGCTGATGGACACCCAACTCTCCAGGCAGCGCACCGGAACTCTTTCCGCATCTTCTCCTCTTCAACAACATGCTGGCTACACTAGCTGGGGCATGTGCATAGCCCAAAGTTCGGGGAAACGCTTCAGCCCAGCTCCAGAGTCTTTTGTGGAATCTTGGACTTCTTTGGCAAAGGCCTTCAGTGCAGACTCTGGGTTTCGACAAATCGCGACTGAATCATAAATTTGGCACAGCTACCTAAGGCAGCAGCGCATTTAGGAACACGTAGTCCCAAACATCGTCAGTGAGGTCTGAGGCCTCATGCGGCAAGCATCTTGACCGGCAAACCATCTGCATCAACACGGAGGAGCCAAGTTGTGCTAGATCCGCTCCTGGATCTTGGCTGGACTTCCTTGTCCACCATCCAGATTGCCCTGCACATCAGCAACCGACTGTCTGGTCAACACGCCCCGCATGTGCAGAAAACCAGCCTCCCCGTGGAGCAAATGTGCCACCGTGTAGTATGCCATGTAGATGGTGCTGTCCGACCTGACTTCGAATGTTTTTCAAACTTGCTTGTATTTCTCCATGAGTAACAGCTGCCAGACCACACTGCCACAGGCTGACGCTGGTTTTGATGAGCAGTCCCCCTTTTGTGGGGCGGCTAGTGTCGGGGTCTCGCATGCTTTTTCAACTTCATGTCCCCCCGTCTTTTCTGCCATCATTTCCTCCCTGGAACGCTCTATCCAAACAAACGTCCCATGGAAAAAAAAAACTTTTCACAGGTCACAGCCCCTCAACTCATCACATCTCATCACCTCAGGCTCGGAGGCTCGGGTTCCAGCAGTGACTCGATCACAAATTTTTCATCCCACGGCACCTCCCAGGTGACACAGTGCCTCACTTCACCTCGCTCCGTTTGGCCATACAACTTGTAGGCATGCCTGCGTGCCCAGACCAAAGGAACCTTGGCATGATGTTTACAGCGCGATTTCTGGCAGGACTGTTCCTTTCGGTGAGAGATCTGAGCCCACTGCGACTGCACGCCCACTCTTTCAGCCAACCAATGGCATCCTCGAATGATTCCTGCGGCGTGTTTACATATGGACCTCCAATGTCATAGTGGTACCACTCATGCATTCAAACCTTGATGCGGTCGTTGTAGCCTGAAATTCCAGCGGGTTTGACGTGTTGACTTCCGGCGCCGTAGTTGCATCCACGCTGCTGACGAAGTTCGAACCCTGCAGGTGTCCCTGCAAAAGATGACATCATGAAGCCACGATTGCTCGTGCATCCATGAGGCGTGCTGACAGAGAATCAGCCTCGATCTGTCCCCTCCAGGACGCTTCACCGTACTTCAGATACCACCTGCACCGAAAGTGCTTTTACATCGGTACTCAAGAGTGCGGGCAGGCTGCTAACTGGGCATGTCGCTGATCGATTGCAGCCACCACGCACTCATCGCCTGATCTTGACACCACCTGCCGGCATGAAGATAGATAGCACAAAAGCCGAGTGGTTAAAGCAGCCGTCCTTCTTCTCAGGCTCCGAGTATGTAAAAGCTTGCTTTGCCTGGATCATTACCTGACACTGTAAAGTTGCCGCAGTCCGGAACTGGCATCTGGGCGCTAAGCCCCAGGCGTTTCTGAACTCGATCTTTGCTTTCCTGAAAAGCAGCGGACATAGGAACTCTGTACGGCCATCACATCATCTCTGCCTCTTTTCACGGGCCTAACGTGACGTTAGCTTCCAGTAAGCCGTGTGAGCCAGGCGGTCCAGGTGGACGGAAACGAAATGCGCATTTGCATTGCACATTTTGGGGCTGCATTTTCCCGGAAACCCATCATTTCCAACAATCTGAAAAGTTGTAGCACAACCCTTATTTGCGAATGCGCGTTTACACTTGCATGCTTGGTTTCCATCTTCCGCTGTTTCGTGCAATTTCACTATCGTGAAGTATGTTCTCCTTGCCGGACTGAGGCCATCCGATGTCGTCCGCAAACTTTCCACCATGACATATATTCCGCGGACCTTCACGACCCTTCTCACCCTGTCGGGGACGACCTGAAGGTTCGAGGCACCAACAGAGCATCTCTCAGCAGAAATTCCTAGACCACAGGCACCCTGCTCTGATTTGTTGCGTTCTGTGTGTTTCTGTACCCTCTCTGTCCTAGAAACGCCTCTGTCTTATGGCACCTTGCACTGGCTTTATGCCACACTCTGTGCATGTCAAGCTAATGCGCATGCAGCAAGCTATGCAACAGAGTGACGTCTTTTTTGTGGCAGAGTTGCTGTGCAATGGCGATTATAGTATAGGGTCGGGCAGGAACTGAGATGCCGTAGAGGAGGGTAGTAGAAGGGCTGAAACGTGTCTGAATTCAAACAACGCTTTTTCCTTTCCGATTTCCGAATTTTAATCCGTCGGCGGCCAGGCCTGGAATGCCTCAGGCCCCGACAGAGCAAGGCCCCCCCACAAAACACCTCGATCATGACCCTCCAACCGACCCAAACGGACCCAACGGGCCACTCCCCCGCACCCTGGACTGATCAGCAAAGCTGAGCCTCAAACGAAAGCTCCTGGAAGGGATCTTTTGTCACAAGCTAGATGAAGCCCACAAGATGCAGCAAGCGTTGCATGCCGGGAAAAATGGGAAGAATTATGCTGCTGGCGGTCAAGCTGCTTGACAGGCTGGCCCTTGAATGGACCGGTGGACATCACACCTGTACGGGGCTTTAGCGTGTACATCTGGCTGGCAGCAGGGCTAATCTGGAACAGAAGACCAAGCCAAACTCTGTGAAGATCTACCTCAAAACTCAAGGTGAAAAGCGCCTTTGTCAAAGCCCAGCTTGTAGCCTCGCTCAAACGAAACAGCGCCAGGTACGTCGACCAAAAGTGCTGCAATCTGCCGCCAAGCAGCACGTGTCGTGAGCCTCTGCCAGCTTGACGCGATCATTGATGGACTGCACTCCGAGCTTCTCACACCTCGTGATGGAGCAGAATCACCAGAGGCTACGAGCATCTCGGCTGCATGCAACGTTGGCGATGGCGACCCTGACGGGCTAGTAAGCGAAGGTCATGTACTGTGCTGCCATAGTTCGGACTTCGCCATCGATCTCGACCTCTGCTCTACATCAAGCAGAACCGATCTAGGAGTGCATAGGACCAGAAAGTCTGAGACGTAGACGTCAATGATTGGGATCAAATCGAATGGTACTACCCACTCCTTCTTGACGCCGTAGAACTCACGCTTCTTGTCTGGCAGGCAGATGCGCAGCCAGGATTGGGCCCAATTGGGCCCCTAAATGGGTGGAACTGGCGGTTCGGGAAACTCGAGTCGAAACAGAGACATTGAGCCAGAAAATGGCAGGTGGTCAGTCAAAAAGAGACAGCACGAGTGAGGCGTTGAGTCGGAAAACGAGATGATGCTCAGGCAGAAAATTGTTCGGTGAGATCCCTGAGAAGGAGGCAGTAGAAACATGTCGGAACATTCCTGGACTCGCCCTCTGTGTTGCTGCAGGGTGTCACATGATCATTCAGGTTGCGCAGCACCCTTGAAAAAGAAAAGATGCCTAGAAGCGCTCAGCAAAACCCAAAATCAAAGATCTTGGGCCCAGGTCAAGAGGCCAGACTCATGTATTCTCTTCGGTTGTTTTAATGCTTGGCTTTCGAGCATTGCACATTTGTGTTTCATGATCCGCCGGCTCGGCTCAAACCATTTTTTCTAACTTCCAAAACCCTAAACCCTGAACCCTTGAAACCTCACACCTGCCCTTTCAAGCCAGCCGCCTGATTTCATCAGGTCGATGTAGGCCGCAAAGTCATCAGGTGAGTCGCTTGGGACGCTGGTGACAACGCCAGTGCCCTGCGAGTTGCGTTCAGTCTCTGGTCCACCCGCTTGTTTAACGTCTCTGTTGGCCCGGAAGAGGTGCCTTGTCCATTTTAATCGTGGGCAGAGGCAACACAAAAACGTGATCGTACTTGGTCGTCGGCGCTTTGACCTCCAGCATTCCAACAAAAGTGATTCCGACCACACGCGTGAAAGCAAATCAACATGCCCACACAATATCAAAATAAGAACTCATGGGCCATCTCAGCTACGGGCCTTCTTGCCCAAGAGCTCCTGACCTCTGCAAGTTCACCAGGCAGTCATCCCAAACCAGACAGCGCTACAGACAGCCTGAAACTTCCATGTAACAGTACGGCTTGCCCCAGGGTTGCAAGATGTCCTTCTGGCACACAAAAGTCAACAAAGGACAGCAAATGGCATAAAGCCACTCCTGGAAGCTCATGTTCCTTGCGGCTCGATGCGAGCACACCTGACATATTGACAGGTTGATGGCCGTGAGAAAAAGCTTGAAAGCTAGCAGTGCCATCGAGAAGCATACACTTCCAGGTCAGGGCCCTTGTAGCACCCGTACTGTCCTGATGGCAGGATCCAGCAGTTTGTCCTGGGCACGTCAGCGACAAGGCCTACAATAGATGTGATATGATGTGATTCTGGGACATGTCCTCAGAGTTACCCAAGCCTCTGGCTGTCCAGGCATGGTTTCTGCTCGCAGGGTAGCAGCCTCAGCACAACAGTGGACAATACTTAGCCCCAGAAAGGCTAAGGAAGTTCTCAGGGGCACACTAACAGGAACACCTGTGGAAGAGGGATGCATCTAACAACTTGAAAGCTTCTGAGAGGACAAACCTTGCTCCCCTCCGCGAAGAACTTCTTCATCATGTCTGTCCATTCCAGCAGTTCAATCTTAATGGCAGTGTACTCCTGGACACGATCAAAGCCGCGCAACTTTGGCACGGGCTGCAGCAACCATGCCACATGGATGGATCTGACAAGTTCCCAAGAAGGATCCCCGTTCTAGGAGCCAGCAACCTTGAAAAGAGCCAGGATGAGTCCTGCGGTCCGACGCCCTCGCCCTCCGCTCTATCGTGATCCATGCATGCCTTGGGGAGATGAAACTCTTGCTAGCCATGATCGCTGATAATTTGAAAAATGGTGCCTGTCCATCCATTTCGCCTCGGAAGAGAACCATATGTCTTGCTATCGGGGACTGCTCTGCCCATACTCGCAGGAGAGGCGCTGTAAATGGTGGGCCTTTTTCCAAATCCGATCTTGTCGGATTGCTTCAGTTTCCTGTGATATACACCAGGAATGCACACAGCACAACACAGGCATGCTTGTACCCACCCAGTCCTGAACTGCCACCGGATGAAGCTATCCTCGGACAAAAAATGCAGATACGGCATGTGATCAGAACATGAGCTGGTTCTGAAGGACATTGCGCACTGCCGCTGCACAAGCTTGAAGAGCAGGACCGAGGACAGGGCATAGAAGCTGTTTACAGATGTTGTGATAAACCTGAGAGTGCAGACTGGGGCACTATCTGGGACAGCGTGTGCCAGCAAACCCCGCACAAAAAACAACGGCATCCAATGGCAATCTCAAGCATCATACGTACTAGGAACCCAGTTCTGGTCTAGCAAAGCGGGTGACTAGTGGATTGTGCGATGTTTTGGGCGTCCAGTAACATGGACAACTCTCCTTGGCAAAATACTGTTTAGAATTTCGAAACAGCACGTGAGATCTTAACCACCACATTGCATTTAAAGTCACAGCAAATGCCTGAAGGAGATCGGCCACGCTGGGTGACGGACGATCGCCGGAAGTCAACAGGTGTGCCCAAGCGCTTCAGGTCACGAACCCCCAAAGGCGGGAAATACTGCAGCCTCATAGCTTCAGCCATGCCATGCGCCACTCATGCCGATTCTTTCAGGTATCGGCCAGTATGACGGATCGACGAACCTGATGATTGATTGACGGGTATGGATTGGTCAAGTTGATTGAAGACAGCGTCTTTCGGTTTCGTTGCACATGTTGAACTGGGTGCTGAGCTTGGGAATCTCTTCAGGAGACAGCCCCATTGCCTGTTATGCAGGTAGGTACTGGTAGAATGCTGCTCTCTGCAGAGACTCGTGGCAATACGTGTGCTTCGTCCTTCATGATTTCATACTGAAACGCAGCATCTCCGCTCTTTGCCAGGATCTTCTTTGCCACGCGCTTGCCACCTGCGGCACCTGGACCCAGCACAGGCAGCAAGCCAGGCGAAGGCCCAAGGTCAGAGGGCCAGACCGCTCTTCTTGTCTTTGGGTGCTGCATCCACAGAAACTTGATCTGATTCAGGGCTTGGAGGGCACGAGGAGCCATCCTGCAACGTCGATCTTGTCCCTACAAGAAAGATCCTACGATGCAAAAACTACGGCGTCCTCTAAAACGGCGATGACCTGTGCGGGCGTGGCTTCCACTGGCTATCCACAGAGAAATCAATGGCCTTGTAGACACAGCCCCCGCTTTCAATAGGTAGGACTGCCCGGACTTTGTTGCCAGCGGCTTTCAACTCCTGCCATAACGCCATAAGGTCTGTCCCAAGGTAGGCTGACAAACGGGCGAGCGCAAAGGGACCTCGGGGCTCGGGGGCACTACCTTCTTTATCTCCTTGAAGTCCTGGTCCTGCACCTGGCCATCACAGACTCACCAACATGCCCAGGCACTCCGTGAAGAGTCGAAGCCTTCATATGCACGACGTACTCCTTGATTGCCTAGAAACAAGTCCGTGCAGGATTTTGAGAGCCAAGTCATTGCGCGGCCTTCTTGCCAGTCGATGCAGGGGGCTTCCACTGCATGGTGACTCCCTCATCATCGATCTCAATAACATCTGGCGAAGACTCCTGAAAGCACCACTTCTTCTTCTTCTCACTGCTACACCTCTCCACTGGGGAGAGGCAGGGGCACAGCCCCAAGCAGGGCGGATCAGGATCTCGCAAAACTGCCCCAGGCCCCGGTTACTGAGCATTTGCTTCCACTCTTCTTCTTCTTCTCACAGCTGTACGCACCCCTCACGAGGTGCGCTGCGGCAGTGCCGCAAGCTGGGTCCAGCCCGGTCTGGTCGGCGTGAAACAAGACAGCACAGCACCACCATCTAGCGGCTTCGCAAGCAGGCCATGTGAGGTTATGACAGGGAAACAGCAAAGTGGCCCATGCGCCGAACCCCTAACCCTCGGAAGCCCCTACATGATGTTATGCTCGCTACAGGCATGTAGCCGGAAGCTGTGCACATTGCTTCCACTCTCTCTCTCTCTCTCTCTCTCTCTTCCAGCGTTCTCGAGACCCGGCGTCCACCAGCGTGCTGAAAGCAACACCCAAGTACTGAAAATCAAGTCCCCAAACATCATTTGCGTGGGTAGCAGCGGTATCAGCAGTCTACATTGGCATCTTCCCGCTTGTGGGCATCTCAAGCCTTGGGCTGCGGACGGCCCGGTGGAAAGACTGGGTATGGCTTGCCGAACACGTCGAACCTCAAAGCACGAAAAGCGAAGCCATGAGAGTCGTGCAGCTCCGTCTTGGAGGAGGGAGAATGAGGAGCCAACTCCCTTGCCAGCTTGTTGGCTGCAGCCTGTAAGCTGCTAAGCAAGCTGCTAAGCAAGCTGCTAAGCCGGAACATCTTTAAAGCTTGGCTCTACGTTTCACTACGTCTGCACCTGCCTGTATTGGCATGCCTGTACAGTGGAAGCCGAAAGGGAACAGGACCTGCTCATGCTGAGACTCCATGCAGCAAACACAGCTACGCAGTCATATACCCTCATGTTGTGCCAGCCTTCTTGCCCAGCAAACGGTTGAAATGCGCGGCAAAAATGGCTTTCCTTGGATGAACTGGACAAACTCGGCCGATTGGCTACTACAATACGACAGGCTGTGCCACCATGAGTCGTCAGGGAAAAGGCATGCCCGATGTGCAGCAGGCCATTCCTCACGTGCACTCCAGTGCCAGCAAGCGCATGCAAGCGCAGCGCATGACCAAAACCATCTTGCATGAAGAGCTACAGACTACGTGACTTTGTGGCCAGGTATCATGTACGGATATGGAAAGGTGCACATGAACTTCTCGCTGCTCTTCTCCGGAGCATCACATTCGAAGATCTCGCAGAACCAACAGTCACAACGAGCAGCTTTGCAAGACAAATGCTGGGCAGAAGCTGAGACCGAGATGCCTTCTCTTTCTCCCATTTCTTCTGCACGTCCACTTCAATTTGCTGCAGCAAATCTCTCCTGCTTCATGCTGTCAAGAGTCAAGGTCTACCCATGCCAACAACAGACTCCTGGCAGTGCTCTGCTTGCCATCTGTCGCCATGGCTTGCTTGCAAGTCCTTCGCCCAGTGAGAACATTAGCCGTCCTGCGCTTCCTCGAAGTTAGCTCCTCGCCGGTGCTGTACACCGCACTTGTGAGATGGACAACCTCAAGGATGAAGGTAACCAAAGTAAGGCGCCAGGATCTCCAACATCTGCGTGGATTGAGCCGAGGGCGGCACACTCTGCGGCCCAGCAAATGGACTCGCATCAAGGCCCGAGGCCCTGAAATCAAAACTTCGAGCCAGGCGAGCATTGCAAAGCACGTCAGCACTGTGCAAGCACCCTGGGTCCAGAAGGCTTCTTCAGGCAAAAGGCATGCTTCGGCTTTCATCTGAGCCGCGCAGAGCTGAGCTCCAACGAGAGGCCGTCACAACTGCCAGCATTTGCCAGCATTTGCCAGTTGCAGTCCCCGAGCTTTGCTGGGACCACAACTGACGCGCCGAGAATCGGAAGGAGACACTGCAGAGCCCCAACTTATTGATGGGCACATCCCTGCAGCTCACACTCCAGCTAGTTTCAAAAATCTAGGATGGGGCAAGCCGAATTCAGAAACCGGGCCCACCTTTCGGGCCTCAAAACTTTCGTTTGAGATGTTTCTTCAATCGGCAGCTGTACTTCTCAGTACCCATAGTTGTATTCCTTGGTTCACACACGTCCTCCTTCCCATCCACTCGCAGGATATGTCGTGCGGCGAAGGATCAGCACGATTGTGCATCACAAGCCGTCCATCTACGAAGTAGAAGCCTCCAACATTGCTAGCTGTCAGCAACAGCATGCCTTTGCACACTTTTGTCCCAGGCACTATCAGATCGAACTTCCCATGGGCTATTGATCAACGCTTCCTGGCCAGCAAAATCGACAAGTGTTCAAGCAAAGGTGAGTCTGGTCTAAAGATATTCTTCGAACGCAATTCAGGCGAGCCTTCCACTCATCGCTCAGCGCTGGCTTTGAGTAAATCATCTCCCAAGTGTTCCTCGCAAATTTGCCGACACATTCAACTGCACTTGTCGATCCCAGGTTGTGAGGATGTCCTGGTGTTTGGGATGACGAAAGGCATAGTGAAGTCATAGCCTCGCAGAGTCATGCAACAGCCTTGAAGCAGCCAACGAAACAAGCTCATGCTGTGAGATGCTGTGAGGGCACTTGTCAGCAGCTGGTCTCGGAAGTAATGTCGCTCGATCATCCTGCGGCTTCGAAGTCCCAACAAAAAACATGGGCACTCGTTTATGAACTCGTGGCCCGTTTGCACGCTAGCAAGCACCCCGGATGCCACAGCTGCTGGCTCATGTGTACAGTTTACAAAAGCAGTTATCACAAATGCTGCGCATCATCATCATCATCCTGAAGTTCTGCACCTCGTAGTCACCTGAAAAGCTCATGCTGCCGGCATAGCTACCAAACAAAGCTCCGTGCAAACAGGTGGCCGTTGGTGAACTCTAGAGTTGTGCCTATGTTCTGGATTTCGAGGAACCTGAGCATGCAGCCGCAAAGAGAACATGCCAAGACCATCCAAGACCTGGTGCAGCTTGAGACAAGCATCTGTGGCCCAAAATGGTAACGGATGAAGCGGCCGGCGTTCTGCCCATACGCAAGCAGCAATCAAAAACATGCGTCTTCTGCAGCACGCCTCCGCAAGCTCTGGTGGGATGGGGGATGGACGATCTCCAGCACCGAGATCAAAAAGCACCTCGAGAGAGAGACAAAAAAGCCGCTCCAGCCTTAAAGATGAGACCGCTCAGTTCTCTGCAGCTTCGGCACTCCCTCGTTGCCCTCGTCCAGGGAACGGATTCTGAAGTCAACCTGGTCAAGACCATGGCAGAAACCAGTGACAGTCTTCTATGTGCAGGAGAAGGACATCCCAAACTCACACGTCGTGCTCGACTTGCAGTCAAGATGCAAATTGGATGTTATAGATGTTGTGCTCCCTGGGCTACCGACCCGAGCTGTCTTCTTTTGCTTGCAAGCTGCTTGCTCAAAGTAGCCACATGATCCGGAACGCATATTGTATCTTGCCCAAAGAAGCTGAGGCGCAGGTCGCAGAGGTACTGATCTGTGGGAGCGGTGAGGAGGTTCACGTACTCTGGCGTCACCTCGTACATCCTCAGCGGTACAAACAGTCGGGCAAGTGAAGTGCGCTAGGACATTCTGGAAAGTGGGGGCCAAGCTCAACTCCCCCATCTCCTTCATCTCCACCCTGCCATTCCGGCTCACAAACCTCGACAAGGAAGCAGAAACCAATTGGAACGGCTGGCAGCAACCTGGCAGCTGCTGACAGCTGATGACATCTTCTTGCCCAGGAGCCGTTGCCATAATCCCCTAACACAAAAGCGCTCGCAAGCTCGCGAGGTTTTGGTGCTTTTGTCACCCGGCTTGGGCCAGCTTTGGCGATGGGAGCTGAAGAGCTGCTGTAAGCAGGATGGCCACAGCCCACAGGGACCACGGACCGCTTGCACTACACTACCGCGTGACGATATCAGTAGGGCACCGTTTGTCACGAGTATCCGCGGTGAGTCTCATCCGAGGTGGTCTCTCCGACAGCTTCATGAGATTTGCGCTCTTCATCTCTACACGGCAAGGTTGTTGCAACCTGGGCAAAGTTTCAAGTAGAACTTCTTGACACAAGGGCTGGCCGTCTCACAAAAACATTTATTTTCCTCTGTTGCCAGGCTTTGAGGTCTTGAGAGGCATTGGCAATTTGCAGCAATATGCTAGTCGAACGTTTACGAGTGTCGTCGTGTCGTTACCCACGAATCAAATCTGCAGAGGTTTCCTCCCTGCGCGGGTACTACAATGCAAGATTCATTGCACGAATTAAGATCCGTACCACTGATCAGCCATCTCAGCCCGCGGCACCACCTCTGGAACGTGAGGACAAACGCTCTCGATCACTCTCAGCCAAAAGGCCTTTGGGGAATTACTAAGCGTGGCGTGAGGATGTGTCCTCCGGGTGGTGGGGTGAAGCAAGGCCCCGAAACATAGGCACTCGCAGGAGAGCACCCGCAAGCGTCGCCTTCATGCGGCACTATCATGGGAGGTAGAACTGGCGGTTGGAGCACTGCACCTGAGACCATGTGTGGGGTCCTCGGTGGTGTCTCATGGGGTCGTGCTGTAAGGTATGCTGCTCCCCGGACGTAGGTCGGAATCTGGGTAGCATGGCCCGGTCCAGCAGAGAGTGAGCGCCGAGCGCTGCTGGGATCTTCCCGGTCCCTGGGCTCTCTGGGCTCTCTGGGCTCTCTGGGCTCCCTAAACCCTGGTCCACCTGCGCCGCACTTGATGCAGTATCTGGATCCGGGCAGAATCGGAGCTCCGCAGGTAGAGCAGGTCTCTGGCAACTCTGCTTGGGCAGCTGCTTGGGTGACGCATGGTCCGGTTGATGGAGTTGGAGGCATGGTGTTCACACATTTTGCCGGCGGCGTGGCTGACAGCCGCTGCTGTGGGATGGCAGCAGACAAATACAGCGGAGCGGATCCCCGCGCCGAGAGCCCGGAGCAAGATGAGGGTGTCGGGCTAGGGGGCACGTGCCCTAAGCTTTTGATGTGTCTCTCCAAGGCATTGGCCCTTGACTCCCAGGATTGGCCAAAGGCCGTCGCTTGCTGCAGCCGCTTCGTCAAGACATCCACTTCATCCTTGAGGCGCTGCTCAAGTCGTTGGATTCGGTCCTCTAGCAGGTTGAGGTCGCTACTCCGGACTGCATCATCCTGCCCTGGCTTTACCACTCGATAATTTGGGGTGGAGGAGCTCTCCAGAGCGGCTTCGCAAGCCTGCAGTCTCTGATCCATGGAATGTAGGAATGAAGGAGGACGGCTTTCACGTCGTGCATCTGCTGAGACTGGCTCTGCCACGGAGATGCTGACGGAACGCCTTGGGCTTGCAGACGAGCCTCGGGCCTCAGCAGCCCTTCCACGGCTGTCAGCCCTCGTCCCTTCACCATCCTTGAAATCCAGGGCTCGGCTCACTGGCAGCTGTGAGCGCGATCCATTTGTGCTCGGCTTAAGCAGCCTCAGATGCCGAAGAGCCACCGGAATGGGTCGCGAGCTGCCCTCGAAGAGCACATCACAATTGAGAGCCTCCTTGTCAACCTGCAGCACGCGGCCCTGATCCCCGGCACCAAATGATGGAAAGTGCCTGCCATTCAAGACCACCACGCGGCTACCTTCCTCGATGCCTTCTCCGGGCTTGGTCTCGGAGTTGTCAGCTCGCTCTCGCATTGTGCGGCGGGAAACCAATACCATTCCCTAAGACATCTTTGCCGAAACAATCCGCCACGACCTATGCAAGTGTGACTTGTGCTGACAGCCTTCGCCTCAAGCGCATGAGCCCAGCATGCTGATGATAACATGTATGCTGATGCTTGCTTTGCTCTGGTTACTCACTGATGAGATGGGCACTCTGTGAGCCGGCAAGGGCATTTGCCAAGATCAGACACATCATGCTCCAGTCGGCCTGTTCAGGATCGAAAGACCAAAGCAACACTGCACTGCTTGCCGCCAGGGACTGGAGCCAGGAGTACCCAAAAGCCATACCTTGAAAATGCTTGTGCCAGTGACCCACGGCTTCAGAAACCCATGCCGCGTCTTGCTAAGCCAAGACACAAGGCAACAATCAGCCATTCAGCAACACTCTCTAAGGACAGGCACCAGCCTGACACGGGGCAGTTCCATGGCATTGCAAAACCAACCAGATGACAAGGCCACATGGCTTGTTTGATTCAAGTTGCGGTAGCTTTCATACAATGCGAACTCCTCCTTCTGCAGCCTTAAGTGATGGACAACTCTCCTGCATCCTCCGACTCGCCCGCTAACTGGAACTGCACACCTATTTCACATCGAGCGTCTGTGGATCATGTGGCTCCTGACTAAAATCTCCACCCCCACACAGTCGATCACAAAATCTGAATGTGAATTGCACCTAAGTTCTGAGACCGGAGGTGCCATCACACAGCCGCATAAGCAATCTGCGCGAAAACATGCATTCACTGGCATCGCTTATGCCTCGGCCAGGGCACGCCATATATTGTCATCGCGATCCAAAGAATTGTGCCCTGATGCTGCTGCTGGCTTTGAATGTCGTATCACCGCAGAACCAAGTGAGAACTCTAACAACATCCGGCAATTACTTGACCATACAACAGTGCAATACTGATGCAAAGTTTGCGTACGGCAACTTTGCACACTAGATGCTGGATCTTGTGTAGTCCCAGTGGCAACACATGCTGGTAGTACAAGCGGCCGCCGGGAGTTTTCCGGCAGGCACATGACCAAGAGTCCTGCAGGGACAGCAGCAACTTGTGGAGGGAGTCTTTCTCATGGTCCATGGCAGGCATGGCTCCATAAAGGAAGAGCATCCATATGCTCGCCAAGAAAAACACGTAGGCCTGCAATCGCTGACAGAATTGGCGTTCCTCGCACTGAATCTTTGCATGCCGGAGTGCAGCGGTGCGGTGGATCAGCTTGTAGAAGTGGGTCGGTATCCAAGCCACCGCCACCTTGAGTTTCCAAACACCAGAATGTGCTGCATGGGATTGTTGCAGGCAGTCACCGCATCTTGCAGCCATGTGGCCAAGCCAATCATTGCAGAAACGCCGAGGATGCGAAGCAACTTGCATCCTAGCAAGAGCCAGGAGGCATTTGGCTCAGGATACCTGAGGTTCAGGTAGGCACGACACTGAAATCTGCAAAACCCTCGCAAATACAATCAAGTTGCCACGCGAATTGAGCTTTGAAATACCTGGCCAGATCAGCACACGAATCTGAACAACTTTTGGCTGAGTCAGGTGTCCTGCCTGCTGAGAAATACGACATACCCTGAGGAAAACAATGCTGAAAGCGTCACGAGCTCCATCAGAAACTCTGGGAAGTTGTAGCCTTTGATTTTTGCCGCTCATCACAGGGAGACAACTTGCCACATCTGCAGTCAAAAGCACACGATCTGATTGCAACCCCGTGGCTTCGTCCACCACCTCAGTTGTTTGAGCATGTTCTTCACCCATCAGGTGTGAAGCAAAAATGAGACCGCGCACAACATCCCAAATAATCAGGCTTAGACACACGCTGGCAAATCACTTACTGGGATGATAAAGTTCAACGCTGCATTCGCATAACCTGCACCGCGGCAGGCAAAACAAAACAAGCTTGCCAACGGTGAGCATGGCACAAAGGAGCACACTCACATTTCAGACTAGAAGTAAGCAAGCCGGTAATCCAACTCGCACTGCCGAGAAACCGCAGGTTCCATGCCCGCTAAAGACCAGGTATCCTCTCAAGCCAAAAACAGACCATGAAAGGTTCTGACTCAGGCGGGCTTCCAGCATTGTTGTGCTGAGGCTACGACCAGCCCAGCCTAGGGGGATAAACGCAAATCCCGCGGCAGCCTGCACGCTAACACCGTAGAGTCACAGTTGAAAGGCAGCTCTTCAGCTTCTGGCCGGGATAGTGAAAGGCTGCCAATGGAAGCCCAGCGTAGCCTGCACAAGGCAGTTGTGAGGCTCACTGCCTTGTACTCGCTGAGGACAACCTCACGAAGCATTTGCAGCCGAGCATCAGTCTCAGCGACAATCACGATGGTGCGAACAATTGTCAATGCACTCCCGCAAAAGTATGTCATCAGCACGAGGTCGATCCAGCTCTTTGTTTTTGCAATTGGCCCATTTGGCCTGCATCCAAACTTGGGCCAGGTAGCATGTAAGGCAGGTGTACTCACAGCTTTTGGATTCTAAGGGGAACCTGTGATCCAACGAAGGGCTAGTGTGTGAGTAGCATGTTGACAGAATTGCTCAAAAGGCTGGAAAGGGTCTACCTCAACCCGCATGAACACTCCAGATCTTTGGGCAAATCTGTCATTTGTTGGAATGCTCAATTGTTGAAACATCTCCTGGGGGCTTGAAGACTTTGACTCGTCTAGGTCTTGTGGTCGCGTGCCATCTGGCCACTGGCTACAAATTTCCTATCCCATGTTCAGCTTACTCTGAATTCACACGCATTCAGGCACAAGGTCTTCTATATTTGATGCCAAACATCCTAAACTATCACTAGCATTCTGTGGACGCGCATACTACAGAGACGGCTAGTGATTGTATTACACAGGAGCGGGGCGCGAGGTACCCTCACCGTCGAAGAGAGACCATCATAAATATTTGGCTCAAACCATAAAGCATAGCAAGGCGCAAGATGGCAATGGAGGTACAACACGGCAGCGAGCCTTGGCCCACGTACGTGTGCCTCCAAGGTGGCCACCGCCTCCCTTGAAGGCTGAATCCTGCCCAATCCAGGGTCAAACGCTCAGACTTCTAGCAGAAAGCCATGCTAAGCTGTAACTCTGCCAACACAAAAAAGAAGAATGGAGGTCTGAAGCTGCTGGGCCGGGGCCCGGCCGATGACTAACTGCTTGACAGAGACAATTCTGACATTTCCTGGTAACCCATGATCCCTTGCCATGTGATTGCTTGCGGTAGCTCCACCAATCAGACCAAGTATTGTGCAAACCCAATTTCCTCGGACGGTTGAGGTCGAGCTGGATGGCTTCTCCCACAGCCGCGGCAGCAGAAACACTCAGGACTTTTTGTCGCCTCTGCTATGACATGCGCAACAGACTGCCAAGGACACCTGTAGACGAGATCGGTCAAGTATCGATTGCTGCAGTACGTGAATCTCCTTGGATGGCTGCTGCAAGCCGAACACTTGCGAAGGCAGACGGTATAATGATAGCATTTTTCATATGCTGCTTGAGGGTGACAATGCTTGCCTGAGATCCGCGGTCGGCCCGCTAATGCTTGCAACCATTGGCTGAGTTCGCGCATTGGTAGCAAATGTGGTGCCCAAAATGCAACCTTCGTCTCCACAGCTTGGAATGAAGAGTCAAAAGGACTTTCCAACAGATGATCTGAGCCATGCGCTTGCCACAATTTGTTGCTGCATGCAGCCTCAGTGTGACTTGAATGGCTCCAGTGTATGGACCAAGCAACAAAGGACTGTTGGCATCACCCCCTGCGCTAATTTACTGGATGGCATTGACTATACACTACGACATTTTGCACCATGCAAGAATGCAAGCAAAGGGCAGCAAACAAGACGAACTGTTTCGGTATGCGGATAGGGTGTGCGGCATATGGAACCGAAACGGCTGCCAGGCATCCTGGGCTGGTATCTGGGCTGCTCAAGGACTGCTAAGAAGTTGCCCAACCACCGCCTAAGCAGTCCTTCACGAGCTGAAACCAAGCTTTGGTGAAAATCCTCTCAAAGCAATTCAGAAACGACTTCTTTCTGCGCAACTTGGAATGCGCAGAGCTATGAAGGAGTCAGCCCAGCGCCAGGCCTGTTTTTTGTGGCCACACAAGAGTATATATGTGTATATTTATATGTATATTTCCAGAGCCACACAGACACTGTACAAATGCGCGTATGTAAACACCATATGATATGCTGAAAATATGCACACACATAGATAGATAGATAGATAGATAGATATATAGATACATACATACATACATACATACATACATACATCGATAGATGCATACATGCATGCATACATGCCTACCTAAAAACAAGTGACACCAGACAAGATCCACTTTTGCGCGCATAAGCGCGCGTGCGCCTGCGGGGCGGGGGTTCTTGATGTCGAAATTGATGTAGTATCATGTTGGTCTTTGGTTTGGGGACGTAGTTCGGGCCTCTAATTCATAGAGACATCGACAAATTTATTTCACCCTCAACAGTGGTCCGAATTTCTGAGATTCTGTCCGGCCGGATTGGATTCTATCAGGCCCGTGCCAACTACATACTTTCTGCAAGGTTGGAACTAAGGGCCCTTAATTGGGCCCTTCGTCTTGGGGTCCATATTACTTGGCCGCAATTGCTTGGCATGACACCCATGGCAAGCCCGGCACAAACATCGTATGGTGGCCCTATTCAATTCATAAATGAGGCTCATGCAATCCTGATATTTGAAAGCTCTATAGCATAGATCAAGACCCTTATATAACCGTTGTCTACAGCTTCTGAATCCTCAGGCGTCTTCCCGACATAGGTGATCCCTATTCAATCTGCGTTGCATGATGAATATCTAGCAGCCACAATATGCAAGCCCCTTAGTGTCCACCAATACGCTACAGGGCACGTGCTCACGGCATTGCACGTGCCTTTCCCATTTGAAAAGCCGCATGAGATGGTTGCGAGCGCTATCAATACGTGTGTTACTTCCTTCTGCCAAATATTAGAAACCCCTTCAATTTTTTGTGTAGGCTTTCCTATGAATCTTTTATTCAGATTTGATGTCCGTTCTACAACAGCGGATAGACACTGCATCGGGATTGCATGGACTTTACATGGAGACTCAGCAGGCAGTGTGGAATACATCTATGTAGACATGTGTAGAAGTTCACACAGGCAGGCGGGCATGATGTGCGGATTGTTCATGGTTTATGTATTCTCTGAAGATGAATGATATCACGAAATTACAAGGATTAACCTGATTAGACAATATCATATCGGCTGCATGGGGTGGTACAAGCTTGGCCTATGTCATGTTCATACTGACATACACAGGATCTTTAGGGATGCAAACATATAATGTCCTGGATGTAGGGGCCAGGAAATCATATCATGCGATGCAATATGAGGCCAACACAGGGACCCTATGTTTCTAACAGTAACAACTGCACCAAGCTTGCATGTCACTAAGTCGGGCTTCTTCGAGAAGTATTGTTAGGATTGTCTAGTTACTGGCTAGTTCACAGCGGAAGTTTTAGGGGTTACTCACGGGTGCCGCCGAGATTTTGTTTAAAACCATGGCTTACAGAGGATTGCCTCGGAAGTTATAAAGGTGTATTTACTATTTGTCCGTATACATACACATATGCATGAGTGTAAAATGTGTGTGTATGTAGGTAAACATTTGTATGATCCATTTCTCTCTATATAGATGTGTGCATGTACATACACATAACTCGCACAACCGCAGGTTTGAACAGGATGTCATGACTTCACCAGGTTCCGCCTCCTTCTCTTGCTAGTTGAGCTGGGGTCTCACCGGCCTCTTGAGCAAACAGAGTCTTCTGCCATGTGCCGGGGTCAGAACTGCATGACAGAAGAACTCATCAGCATCAACTTCGAGCCCTAAGCGTCCTCCTAAGGGGAACACGTCTCGCCATCAGAATACCCCAATATCTGAACCAAGCACTTTCCGGTGTTGCTAGGTTTTGAACGCAATTGCGCCCAGGGTGCGGGTGAAGGCTAAAATATGCTAAGATTACATGCAAGCGCAGACAGTAAGACGTGTGGACCTGGCTCAAGCTCATGCGGGTGCGTTTTCAGCAGCAGCTTTGACTGCGTCACTCAGCTTGAGATTTTACTTGACAGGGGGAAAGAAGTCCTTGTAAGCTCTCTCCAGCTTTGGCCTTCTGGCTGATGTGAAAGCAAACCTGCACAGAAGTGCAGAATACGGCAGGCCACTATGCACCACTGGCTGGTCTTGTAGAACGTCCTGGCCCTCCGAAGATGCCGTGTGCTCCATGGCTTCCTCCTCCGCCACCTCTTCCGGCGGACGGTCCTCTTGGAAGACATCGCTGCCGTCACTGCCCCCAGTGGCTAAGCGGGCTTCGCTGCCGGAGACCAGCCGCAAGCCAATCGGTCCATAATCCGGTACCTCCACAGGAGCTCCGCGGAGCTTACCTCTGCGGCCGCGCTTGACAAAGTCAATCTCTGCCTTGTAGAGTCGGTCCAACTTGTCATTCACCATGTCTTGGAACTTCTCAACGCGCCGCTTCCTGTAATCCTCAAGCCGCTCCCATCGGAGCTTTCCGTCGATGGCATTGCCCATGTCCTCCGCCAGCCTCTTCTGGCTCTGTACCAGCAATTCCTGATCCAACGCAATCCTCTTTTGATCGCGGACTTGCTCTGCCAAGAGCTCCTCCTTCTGGACGCCAGGCGTCCGCAAGTTGGTGAGCTTATCCTGGCCCTGTGCTAGAGTGCGGCTGTCCTTAGCTAACTGCATTTGATCCTGCGCCACCTGCACCTGGTCCTTTGCAATTCGCTGTCGGCGCCACTGCGCTTGGGTTGTCGCTACGGCCACTGGGATCTCATCCTCTGGCCGGGTTGGCTCAAGATAGGGTGGTGCAACAATGCGGCTTTGCGCCAAGTACTCGTGACCGCCAGAGGTTTGCTCATCTTCTGGTTCATTGCCTTGCTCCTGCGGCTTGGACTCATCATGGCTGTGCTCCTTGCTTTCATCGTCGCCATCTGGAGACTCATCAAGAATCTTGTCTTCTTTCGGGCCGGCAGCTCCTCCTTCCTGCTTGAGGGCCTTTGCGTCTTGCTTCAGGGACTGAATATCTTGCTGCAGCTTCTTTTCTTCTTGCTCATATTCTTCGACCCTCTGCTTCTCCTTCTTGAGCTCGTTCTTCAGAGCAGCTTCTGTTTGCTCCATCTTCTTGGTCTTCTCGGTCTCCAGCCTTTGCAACTTCTCCATCGACTCCGATGGTTCATCGTTGAACACTCGTTGGTCAGTGGGGTCTTTTCGCGGTGGACCTCCAAGCATCTTGCCAGTGTCCAGCGGGCCTTGCCCATCCCCTTCACCGAAACATGTCTGATGGCGGCGGCTGAGGGCCAGGGAGAGATTACATGTCTGTCTTTCGTCTAAAGACCATCCTGGCACATCGTGCCAGGAAGTTGCAGCAGCAAACGATCGGCTCATGGAATCACATCATGAGGCCATGAAATTCTGCGGCATGCCCATGATCGCTCGTCGTGCTACAATGTGCTGTGAGGTGAGCTGTCGCAGTCCATTTGCTTGCATGCTGAGCTCGCAGCAAAACTGACCTGTCCTATGCTTCTTGCTAAGACTGTATCTGAGCAGAGCCCTAGAAACGGTCCTGCTTCCAAGCCATGCTGTTCATGGAGCATTGCTGTCTCAGCACGTCTTCTCGCCTCATTGGCAATGTTGATGTCAGCACCTGGCTGCCAAACAATTCAGGCAGTTCGGCAGGAGTCTAGAATAAGCCAAGCAGGAGAATGCTATCCCAAGAGCACGCACCACAGTCAAATCCAGGCGCACTCCGCTCCACTCTGATTTTCAGACCGGAGGGTCCGCAAGGCCCTTACCACTGCACACCAAAAGCTGTGCCACGGTCTGATGCTCGGACATGACCTTTCCACGCACTGCCCATATTGCAGTTTGCAAGTGATGTAGTTCTTCAATGACTTGATCGTGTACTGGACTTGCACCCACAGTATGACAGGTCCCTGACCGCGTAGTGCAACCTCAGACACTTTGCTCTGGTTCTCTTGCAGCTACTGCCAAGTAATCCTTGCCACTGAGACTACCATTGTGTGGAAAAGCGCTTCCTACGAATGCTCCTGCCAAGGTTACTCACGCCCTCTGGATGATACACAGCGGCATCAAGAGTTTTCTTCATGGAGGTTTGCCAAAACCTTGGGGCATGTGGGAGTCCGGCGGCGTGTCGCCAGCTTGATCCTGCTTGCTGACGCTAGCCTTGACGTCTGGAATGTCCTTGGCACCAGCCTTGACGTCTGGAATATCTGTAGCAATTTGACAACTACAAACTTGAGGAGCAGGGCAGACACAGAAACGGCATCCGATTTCTCACACGTGCGGCTTTACTTCTTGGAGCGCTGCACTGCATACATTTGAGTCCCATTAGAGCCACATTTCTGCAAACGGGCTTTGCTGCCATGGCTAGTGACCAGGTAAGGCTTCTGCCAGCAGAAAGCTTACCTCAGCGAAAACTGAAAAGGAGCACGTTCCTGCAGTGTACGCAGTGCTCAGTGCTACGAAGTGCCATGTCCAGATCTCCGCGATCTGCAGCCCAATGTAGAGGAAGCATGCCATCTTTATCAGCCTTGCAACATGTGGATTCTGGATCGAGCAGTGTGCTGGCTTCATGTTATGCTCACTGGCCTCTGCTGCAAGTTTGGGAGCCTGTTGGAGGAGGACGCGGGCCTCCTTGAAGCTAAGACGACACAAATGTCTCTCAAGCAGCCAGTCCGGGCGGCCTCAATCTCGCCATTTGCGATTTTTTGGCAAAGCTGCCCAGCGGGGGTCTCGTCCTCAAGACATTCTCATCTGAGCCTTCTGACCAAAGTCCTAGCAATTCGCACTGCACCCAGCGCGAGCGGTTTCAAATGGTGTGCTCCAAAGTGCCTGAATCGCTACAAGCGCCGGTTACCTTGGCGGTAGGCGGAGGGTTGGGGGGGCACACCCAGCACGCAAGTGAGAATGGCACCTGCTGCCAGAGCAACATCTCTAGCGCTTGTTTCACACGCTGCGCGTTTCGGGCGGGGAACGCGGGAGAGCGACATCAGAAAGCAAAGCGGGTGAACGAACAAAAAGCGCTCATTTCCCCATACTGATGCCTCAGGTTTTCAGGATATGCAGCGCGCAGCAGTGATTAGTGCGGCTAGGTTCCCTGCAACATCTTCTGGGTTGCCTGTGTGACATCACGGGCTCAAGAAGCGGGAGTGCTTCCACAAACGGTCACCCCAATCTTAGGCCAACACCCATGCAGCCCATTGTGCTGACAGCGGGACCCATTGATCTGAAGGCTAGAAGAGGCCAAGATACCACGAACTTCCACGAACCCACACAGGACTGAGCACAGTGCATGCCATCACCCCTTTCTTGGCGACCCTCATCTTCTGCAAGGGGACCTACTAGGGCGGCTTGCGGCTCTCCCTCTCTCTGTTTGTACCTCTTGCTGGGCCTCCTGATATCCAGTCGGGAGCGTGTTGGTCCAAAGCTTTGACCTAACACAAGATGACAAATCATCAACCCGAGCGCCATAACATCTAAAGGCCCTGGCATAGGCAAGCTTGGCCAACTCGGGGGGATAGCCTCTTTGTGTAACATTTGGAAGTTGACGGAAGTTCAGGGCTCGGGGCAATGGTCAAAACAGCCCGCAGCCTCTGACCTGATTCCAGGCATCCCACTTGGCAGCGCCCTGTTGAGCACGGCGAAAAAACAGGTTATCTGCCACGCCGCTTAACTTCGTCGCCACACTACCAAGATATCTGCATCGGTCCAGCCTGCATGCTGAAGGGTTGGCTCCCTTGACAGTCACCTGCTACCAGCTCAAACGATTCCAACTAGTGCAGCGGACGTCTGGCAACCTGATGCCAACTTCCGGCTGAGACCGGATGTGCTCTTTGTATCTCTTTGTCGTGGTCTCTCAGGCCCTGGCCACAGGTTGCCTGCTTGTACCAGGCATACAGCTCAAGGGCAGCATTGGTGCCCAAACCGGAGCCATGCTGGGTCACCTGGAGCTGAACACGCAATGATGCCGCTGGAACTTCACAACTTGCCAGGGCCGGTGCCCAAGCAGCGGCCGTCTCGAACCTGTCAGCAGGAAGAGCCTGACCGCTCCAATGGGTTTTAGGCGGCATCCTGCCCCTCTTTTCACGTCATCTTCCCTGTCGAGCGTTCTCAGCCAGCGTCACAGTGTTGTTCAGCAGCATTGCTACTGTCATAGGGCCCACTCCGCCAGGAACAGGTGTGATGAGGGATGCCTTTTCTTTGGCAGTCTCGAAGTCCACGTCACCCTGAAGACGATATCCCCGTTTCCGGGTGGCATCGCTAACCCGATTGATCCCCACGTCCAGCACGACGACACCTGGCTTCAGCCAGGCGCCTTTGACGAAGCCCGGGCGGCCCACAGCTGCCACCAAAATGTCCGCATCCTTGCAGGCTCCCGCGATGTCTTCCGTGCGACTGTGACAGACTTTCACCGTTCCGTTCGCTTTTAGCATGAGCAGCATCATCGGCATGCCAACAATGGCAGAACGGCCAAGGACCACGCAATTCTTTGCCTCAATGCTGACATCGTACCTGCGCAACATCTCCATCATCCCTGCTGGAGTACATGGAAGAGCCAGCGGGCGCCCCAGAGGACGAGCCAGGAGCCCCAGGTTGGTGCTGCACAAGCCATCTGCATCTTTATGGACAGCAATGCTGTCAAGGACCAGCTGCTCGCTGATATGGCCCGGCAGAGGCAGTTGCACCAGAATTCCATGTACTCGAGAATCCTCGTTTAGCTCCAGCACCTTATTTATCAACGCCGCTTCTGTTACGGTGTCAGGAAAATTGACATTGAATACCTGGCATCCGACTTCTTCCGCTGCCTTAGTCTTGCCGCGCACATACGATTCGGAATCAGCCCTGTTGCCCACCAGGACTACGGCCAGTCCTGGTACCAAGCCTTCTGCTTGCAGCACCTGGGTGCGTGTGCGAAGCTCTCGCCGAACTTCCGCCGCGGTTGCCTTACCATCCAAGAGCTCTGCAGCACGCCGCTGAATCATGCAGCTTTTGCCGTTTCGCTGTGCGGAAACGCCCACCATCACGCCGAAAATCGAAGCCCAAATGCATGGTGCTGACTTCACCTGAAAGGGGCCAACACGCACTTCATGAATCACAACCACATGGGATTAAGAACAGCACTTCTGCAGCCAGAGTCACATTCAGCGGCGGCTGACATGTCGCCGATGCACGCTGCTGGCCCCAAGAAGACACTTGGGTCAACACGATTTGGCCGCACCATGCTCCTACCAACTGTGCTTGCATCGTGCCACATAGGCCCTCACTACACTGGTACCAAAAAAAAATGGTGTAAACACACTCGTGAAATGTCCCTTGTCGATCCACACTGCAGCGGAAGGGCCCACAGAAACGTTTGGCAGAACAATGCGAAAGACATTTATGACAAACACAACATGGAACGCTCGGCAGGCGACGCTTGCGCAGCAGCTTCTTTCACCTTTTGAAGTTGCGGCACTTGCAAGAAAACGCGCAAAAAGACTGCAGCGAATGCCTCATCATCATCATCATCATCGAACAGTTGCACGACGGATGCGGGGATCCCCCTGACCAAACGACACAGCTATTCTCTAGCACAAATGCAAGCTCAAGCAAAACCATCCTCTTGGGAACTGGTCGACGTTTTGACCGTCTCCAAAGCAGAAACACCTCAGCGAACGTGCAACGAAAACTTTATCGCAGATCCTGCCCAAAAAAACATGTATTGCTGGCCCACCAAAGGAATAGCAATTGCGGCAGCTGTTGCCAGTGCTGCGGCCTCATCCAAGCACAATACACATGGCAACAACAATACAAACGGCTTCTTACCGCAAATGGCACTTATCTGCACTTCCAAGTCGGCCTTGGAAAAAGACGACTGCGAGGCCCACATCTTCATCCACGGCTGAAGGACAAGCTGGGGATCAAAGGAGTGGTTGCGGCTATGAGACCATGAACTGTGCTGCTCCCCATGCCGACGCCGCTTTGTGCCAGCACCATGCGTCCTTACCTCTCAAAAAAAAAACTGGTAAACAAAGGAACCCACAACGAAGTCGAATTATGTATACGCTGTGCACCAAGGGCTGCGTGCAGCATGTAAGGTCCACAAATGCACAACATCGGGCAGAAGCAAAAAAAAACTGGCAGCAGCAATGACTGAGCGAAGTATTCTTGGACATGCAACACTTCCTGCCATTACTCCGTATGGCTTGCTACGACACAAACAACGTTGCTACATGAGCACACCATCTTGCATTCCAGGGTGGTGTTTTGCGAGCGGGCATCTGCGAGTCACCCAAAGCAAGCGTTTTGCCCGCTTTCTGTGAAACGTTGACCCATGGCACTTGCCACAGCGAACATCCTGGCAGCTCTAGCACGTTATGTATTGCCCATCAGATCTGCCAGCCGGCGCTGAATCTGCAGGCATATTGTCATCGGCCATTTGGTTCGTGGCCTCATTAGAGGCATGTTTTTTTTTGTTCTCCGCTTCCACATCACAACCCTGGGCATCTGTAATTTCCATGGTCATACCCTGCACCGGGTTTCCAGCAGACTTGCCATCCAGCTCCCGCTCTGACACGTGGTCCAAAAGCTGCTGCCAACGCGTGCCCATTCGAAAAAACCCTTTCTTCTGGCTCCTCCGCACTTTCTTTCTGGGGTCAAATGCAGCCAAGTTCCACCAGACCCGAATCATGTTGGCAATTGCAGACAGAGCAAGCGACGCAAAGATCCCCACAGTCATTGGGCGACCATATGTGCCATATAGCCAAGCAGCGACAGCCAGTGCAAAAAACAGGTAGGATTCCATCATGTAGATGACAGTCTCTCCCAACACTTGGGGATTTTGACGTAAGAATTCGATGGCATCCGCATCTGTTAAAGAATCCCAATGGAACAATGTCAGTACGCAGTACAGAATGCAGTTGATGTTTGCAAAGAAGCAGGTGATGCACAACGAGACATAAATTTGACGAATTTGGAAAAGTTGATGGGGCCCCAAACAATACCCGGCTGGAGTGATCTCGTGCCCTTCTATGAGAGCCCCAATGACAGTTGTCAAAACCAAAGAAGTTGTGACGCCAATGTTCGTCCAAGCATTTTTTGCCGATTCCTTGATTTTGTCCATGGAACAGTGTCTCAAAATTCCGACACTGATCCTTTCATTGAATACGGACGTGGCCGCCATGTGCAGGCAGAAAAATGTCAAGTAGACAGTCCACGGCCCAATGCTCGCAACGTCCAAATAAGCATACCCTGCATAGGACGTTGCTTCGGGCGATGTTTCATTGCACACAGGCTCCATATCATGTCAGGGGCATCAAACCACAAATGCTGCCTCGGTGCTGTTTGCTTTTCTCGCACAGTAACAACGGAAATTTGATGTCATGCATGAGTTGCACAGATCATGAGGATGTTGTTGCAAACCATGCTCGGACCAACCAAGGCCCATTTGAACCATGAAATGCTCACATAAGAACATGCCGTTGCCAACTTGTGTTTTCCTTTTCAACAGGCTGCCTAACAATTGCCAACAAACCCCGCGGGAAATCTCCGCACAACTGGTGTTTTCTTAGGGCCTTACATATATTGTGTATTCCACCATGTTCTCATGGTTCTGGGGGTCGTGGCCGAGCCAGAGGCCCGGCCGCAAGAGCTTGACAACAGGTTTTGCTGGTTCTGCACGTCCCAATGCTGAGAGCCACATCCAAGGGTCACACGCGTTAGTCACTAGTCCAAGGCAGGCTTGCGGACAGACCTTCGAGCCGCCAGCAGTCATGCTGCGTGCAGGGATGCGGCTGGGGGGTGCATCGGAAGAGCGGCCCCTGAACCCCAAACCTTCAACCCACTGAAAGGAGAAGAAACATGTTCGACGTTGTTTGCCGCGCGGTAACTAGATCACAAATCTGTGAGGGGTCGGTGTCGTTGCGGAGACGTGGTTGTAGCTCCAAGCCGCAGTGCCATCCCCAACGCCCGCAACGAATTTCATCTTTGCGGTCCACAGGACAGAGGAACACAATCCAGCACCGTCCACAAATTGACGCTTTTTACCTACCAAGGTGAAAGGAGGGCCTAGGCCCCGGCCCCAAACCCCGGTCCCCAGAGGTTGCTTCGGAAATCATGTTCATTTTCATCTGAGGATGCACCATCAACGGTGCGCACCAGCGCCGACGAGCAATTCGGGTGACAACCGGCCCGGGGCGTAACTGGATCTGAACTGTGTCACGGGAACCGGCGCGGTCATAGCGAGCAACGAAAACCGCGGGGGATTGTAACGGAAACCGCCACGGGCCGTAACCGGAACCCGGGCGAGAGCCAAGAAATCGGCAGAGAATCATCCACCCGATAAGCATGAAATTAAGGTGCCCTCTGCGAGCTACATCATGTGAAATTAAGGTGAAGGGCCTGCGGGCACGCCCAGGCTTTAGTTTATGGTGGCCCTCTTGCATGAAAGCAGGAAGGGTCCAGAAACAACATCCGGCGGTCGAGGCTACAATGCGAAACAATGCGTTAGAAAAACAACCTGTACAAATTGTGATTTGCAAGCAGCCATCCTGCAGCGTCCCTTCAACAACTCCGGCCCTCCAGCCGGGATCGCGCATGCATTAACCCAAACGAATTGCAATGCTGCATCCATTGTCGGCACGGTGCATATAGAACACAGGCGAGTGCAGCATGAGAAGGGTTCCATGCATTTGCACAACAAAATCATGGATGGACAAGGGACCTGTGTCGGGCCGAGCCTCCAGTCACGAAGGGAGGACAAACACGAGCTGCGGATGTTTACTGCCAGGACTAGTCCGTTCCTACTTCGAGAAAAGGATCCCTGCACACAGACTTCTTTTTAGCGAGTGACAGGAAGTCCATGGTTCAGGTCAGAGAGACGGAACCAGAGGACAGAACAGACTGTGTGCTCAACCCCGAGCTGGGGAGCACAACTATCAGAAACGATGGGGTGGGCATAAATCCAAGCCTAGCAACCCATCACACAGCAGAGCAACAGACGTCCACAAAAAGGTGGAGTAAGGGGATGGATGGAGGGAGTCTAAAAACTCCAATGCTTGTGCTGCAGCCAGACGCCTGCAGATGTAGCACAGCATTTCCGTTGCGTCCATGGCAGAAACAAACAGGATTGACACTCCCAACCGTTTACTGCCAGGACTAGTCCGTTCCTACTTCAAGAAAAGGAACCCTGCACACAGACTTCTTTTTAGCGAGTGACAGGAAGTCCATGGTTCAGGTCAGAGAAACGGAACCAGAGGACAGAGCAGACTGTGTGCTCAACCCCGAGCTGGGGAGCACAACTATCAGAAACGATGGGGTGGGCATAAATCCAAGCCTAGCAACCCATCACACGGCAGAGCAACAGACGTCCACAAAAAGGTGGAGTAAGGGGATGGATGGAGGGAGTCTAAAAACTCCAATGCTTGTGCTGCAGCCAGACGCCTGCGGATGCAGCACAGCATTTCCGTTGCGTGCATGGCAGAAACAAACAGGATTGACACTCCCAACCGTTTACTGACAGGACTAGTCCGTTCCTACTTCGAGAAAAGGAACCCTGCACACAGACTTCTTTTTAGCGAGTGGCAGGAAGTCCATGGTTCAGGTCAGAGAGACGGAACCAGAGGACAGAGACTGTGTGCTCAACCCCGGGCTGGGGAGCACAACAGTCAGACACGATGGGGTTGGCATAAATCCGAAGAGACGGATCAGAATTGACCCAGCAGGACCCACCCCAAAGGCCACTCAAAGAAGAGCAGGAACGAAAGGAGCAAGCTCAGCCTCCAAAAGCGCCACCTGAGGCTTGAAAGGCACGACGAGAAACTTGTTCCAGGGAGGAGCGACCTTTTCTGCTTCAGCAAAACCCAGAGATGAGGGGTCTTCAGAACGACTAAGGCCATCTGCAACATCGTTAAGAAAGCCAGGCACGTGCAATATGGGCCAAAATGCAGCATCTACGTTGCAAATCGCAAAAGTGTTGAAGCACAGTGCAAAGACCCCTCGGAACTGAGGGTCCCTTCCAGGCAGAAGCCTCGGAGGCAGCTTTGTCACAGCAAAGGACAAACATGCAGAGGGGGGATGCGCCAAAGGAAGCATGCACTGGGTAGTCCAAACCAGTGCAGACTGGGCAAGGAGCTCAAATGCCGCAATGAAACTCTGAGGAGAATCATCACGGGACAGGAATGGGCATAGGTGGCACAAGCCGCTTCATAGTACAGGGAAACTTGACAAAATTCTCCCAGGCCAACGGACACACTGTCGGCGCAGGCATCGGCGAAAGCCTCACAGCCGAAAGCTGGGGCTAACAGACTGGAATGCCTGCACGTGGATTGGTGCCGAAAATCCTTCCAAAGAGAAAGGACCTCACGAACCTCGCGATAGACGGGGACAGAGGGAGTGTGTTGAGGGCTGACTTGAATCCAGAGGCGTCTGGATTCCGGAAGCCAGGCAGGAATGTCAAAGGCTGGCAAAAGGCAATCGCGCAAGTCGAAGCAAGCGGGAGCCAACCGGCACAGAGGGGTGGCCAATGGAAGCTGTGACGTTCAGGTCCGCATCCAAGACTGGCCGAAGACACGACCACTGATGAGGAGTCATGAGGAGTCAATGCGGCCATCACAAGTTGGCCCGCATGCTGAGGAGCATACAATGGAGCAAGTGTAGAACGCAGAAAAGAAACCAGACCTGAAAGCCATAGAAGCTTTCCAGTCAACCTCTCGACGTCGTGTCGTGAGACATGCATGGCATCCAGAACGAGCTGAAGCAGCTGGAGCAGACGCTGCTGCTTAGCAGATTCCATACAGACAGTGAACGTGACAAGGTCTATGTGCCACCCAATCCAGACCGGCTGCGAGGATAGGCTGGCATTGTGCCACGACATTGGCACCTTAAGCACCAGCAACATGAGCACGAGCAGTGCAGCCAGCAGAGGTGAGGTGCACTTGCGCAGAAGGCAAAGAAGGTCGTCCATGTGAATCATGAAACCGTGGCTCACGAAAAGAACGCCCCGCAACAGATGACAGAGCAAGCCAGCAGCGCGTGACCAGTAGTAACTGGAGGCACGTGCGCCGAAGCTCACGGTGAGGCACTGAAACGGCTTTTCACCGTGGTGAAAGCAGAGCAGACCATGAGTTTTGATTCTTCTGTGCGCTGTTGAAAGTTTTAGACCGAATCTTATGATCCACTCTATCTACTCCGATCTAACCACAGGTGGCACACTTTTGACCCTGCGGCTGCAGTCTGTCTGGGGTGTGGTTTGAGCCTATAAAGCGGAGTGAAACACGCAATGCTATATCAGGCTCTAAGGGGCACATGTACAATCGAAATGTTTGTTACGCCCTCAAAACTTAAACCAGCTAAATAATTCCAACTACAAGTGATCAATCAAACTACTCTAACCTGGCTAAACTAAACTCACTTGACGAATCGCAGGTCTTTTTCACATTGGCGTGCAACGTAAGCTGGATCTACTCAACAGCTACAAAAGTCAAATTCTAGTCCACATCCTTCTCCAGAGAAACGCAGAAAAACTATCCTTTCATCGCGCTAGGCGGCTAGGTGAAACATGCAAACCTTGTTGCATCTTCGTGAACTTAATCACGGGTTCCTTCATCGTGAACTCAATCACGGGTTCCTTCACACTTCATTTAAACAGCACTAAGGCCTAAAGGATCTCAGAATCCTTTCAAAGTCGATTCAAATCAATGGAGAGCTTGTCCATTTTTCATTGTCATCTTAAGCATTCGAATCAACTTCCTCCGCATGAGGACTTTTCCTCATCTGCTCACTCCTTTTTCTTTTCCTTCTTCTCGGCTTTATGCATTTTCTTTTCTCCTCGCTGCTCTTTGCGCTCTTTCTTCTCAGCTTTTCGCGCTGCTTTGCGTTCTTCCTTTTCCTTCAATCTCTTCGCTTCTTTTTCCTTCTCTTCAGCTTCTTTCCGAACTCTTTCAGCTTCGGCTGCGTCCTGCACAGGGTTTTCTCTATTCTCATTTGCTACTTTCATCCTTTCCCCGTGCATCTCAATCTCTCTTTTATTCATGTCTTCAGCTTCTTGAACACGAGACCTATAGTTCGGTGTCCGTTCCAAAATGGAAAACACCAACTTCTTCTCATACTCAGCCTGCTTCTTGAGGCTGTTCTGCGTTTGGCATCTAAGCGTCTCATCGAACGAATAGCCACTCTGCTTCCTTTTTCTTCCGCTCATCCTCAGCCTTCTTCTTTGCTTCAGCTTCTGCTTCAGCTCTCTTTCGCTTTTCTTC